GATCATTTTAGAATATTTAAAGCTTTTTTGTTAAATGTATAGCTAAAATATATAGATAAAAATTGTAAAATATATCATTGCTGTTGTATAAACCATTAGCCCTTTTCTGGACTTGCTTATTCAGTCATTCATGTACAAATCAATATATCATTATTATTTAAAGTCTTGTAAGACTTGTATGTGTACTCACAAAAGTCAATGGACAGCAACGTGATCCTTAGAACTTATTCAGCCAACAAGATTATAATAGTTTTCAAATTATGTGGTTACATTATAAAGTAAACAAACAAGAGAGTAAAATCTAAAGAAGCTCAAATCAAACTGTGATTTCAAGGTGTGGAATTTCCATGCAACTAACAAAATAAAGATAATTTCCAAACCAGTGTCTCAAACATTTCTTCTGTCTGCCCACTTTGACCATTATTTGGAAAAAAACAAACAAAAAAAACAGATGCCTTCATCCCATACATGACCGGTTGAGCAAGATGCTGACAAGTCATTCTATAAACAAACAGCAATGCGTGGAAGCCACTGCTATAAAGTTGGTTATGCATATTGAGATACAATACAATAAATATTTTTAACATGAAAAAAACAACAACTTGATCATTACGATTATGATACTAAACAGTTATTGAACCCAAATAACAATGTGGACTAAATTCTGTGATAATATAATTTTACGTTTTCTAAATACATTAATGAAATTATTGGTTAAAAAGAAAGGTTACTAAATTTGTCAGCAAAGGGCACATCCTGTAGATCCAAGAGGATGAAGCAGAAATTAAATATTTCATCCTGGTCTTCACCCAGTGCTCAGAAAGTGTCATCTGTGAGAGATGAGCAACATAAACTTTACAAATTTTATACATATTGTGTAAATTTGTATCAATATAATATTATCAAATAACAGACATCAATACAATATAATATAATTTTAAAAAACGCAAATAAAACACAGACATCAATATAATATAATATAATATAATAGTTTTCCACTGCAACTGCAGCCCTACATAGGACAAGCGGTTTGGAACATGGATTGATATTCATTTTAATAAAAATTAATAATATGTTGTAGGACTCTGCTCACTTTCATTTCAGAGTGTTTGATTTCTTTATTTTTCTTCATCGTGTCCTGATCATCTGCTGCACAAGCTTGTGCATCTCCTGAGTCTGTGATGAGAGGGGAAATATAGATGCTTTACATCATCCAGTATGTTTTTAGATTTCTAATTACCTTTTGTTGTTGTTATAAATAAACAATCATTCTTTGTTACCGTCTTCTCTTTACTCTTGTCTTCTACAAGAACAGTATTGTGGGTCTTGTGGTCTCCCTTAGTGCAAGACTGACACACAGATATCTGATCATCTCCACAGAACATCTCCAGAGCTCTGTTATGTTTCTGCATCATTTTAGGATTGATATCCTCCACAAGGTCAATCATCATGACTTCCTTTATGTTTACGACTTTCTCATGAGGCTCCAGTTTAGTCTCATTGTAAGAGCTCTATTACACATCAGAGTTTCAGATTGAGACAACAGCTGCTCAGTATCTCTAAGATCCACTCTCTTGGTGAAATGCACGTGTTATCATGACTGCTTTCCCAGCATTCCTTCAGCAGGCAGGCCTTACAGAAGTTATGTCCACATGGGGTCATCATGGGATCAGTGGACAGCTCCAGACAAGTTTTCAGTCAGTACACTGCTTGAGGAAGCCATTACTGAAAAGAAAGAAAAGCTTAACACACATTACAAAAACAAGCTAAAAATAATATGAGAACAGAAAGACATAGATATTTATATAAATACATATTTCTAAAATATCTGCAAATGGTTTGATTCAAAGAAGAAGTTGATTTATTCATCATTGTTTATTACAGATGATAATGATATACTTTATTTATGCTAAATGTTAGCATCTTTATATTTAAAATATATCTTTATGAGAAGAATAGAAGATCTCTGTTAATTATTTATTACCAGAAGTCTCTTCCTGGTCCTCAGGCATCATTTTAGGATTGATATCCTCCACAAGGTCAATCATCATGACTTCCTTTATGTTTACGACTTTCTCATGAGGCTCCAGTCTAGTCTCATTGTAAGAGCTCTATTACACATCAGAGTTTCAGATTGAGACAACAGCTGCTCAGTATCTCTAAGATCCACTCTCTTGGTGAAATGCAGGTGTTATCATGACTGCTTTCCCAGCATTCCTTCAGCAGGCAGGCCTTACAGAAGTTATGTCCACATGGGGTCATCATGGGATCAGTGGACAGCTCCAGACAAGTTTTCAGTCAGTACACTGCTTGAGGAAGCCATTACTGAAAAGAAAGAAAAGCTTAACACACATTACAAAAACAAGCTAAAAATAATATGAGAACAGAAAGACATAGATATTTATATAAATACATATTTCTAAAATATCTGCAAATGGTTTGATTCAAAGAAGAAGTTGATTTATTCATCATTGTTTATTACAGATGATAATGATATACTTTATTTATGCTAAATGTTAGCATCTTTATATTTAAAATATATCTTTATGAGAAGAATAGAAGATCTCTGTTAATTATTTATTACCAGAAGTCTCTTCCTGGTCCTCAGTTTCTAGAGGTTGTGAATGTTCTGTTATCACCGTTTCCCTTTTGTATCCTTTACAAATTGCAAAAATGAACTCTGAAGTCTTACTAAATGGACAAATGTGCCATCGTATTGACATTAAAATTATATCACAAGGTGAATGCTTGTTTATACACTACTTTTTTGTCATTAATCAAACGAAGCATGTTACTAGCTAAAATACAAATTGTAAAAATGCAAATATATGTTTTTCTCAAAGAGTTGCACATTCTCTCTAAGAGCTGTGTTGCACTTTAGATCAGGACATTTGTTAAATGTTGCTTTACAAAATGGGCAGGTACAGCTCTGACTGTTGTCCCAGAACATTTCCAGGCAGATCTTGCAGAAGTCGTGTCCACACGGAGTGGTGACCGGATCATGAATACATCCAGACAGATGGAACACTGGAGCTCTTCAGATTATGGGCCACTGGTGCAGAACAGGAAAGCAAAAGAAATCTATTAATTTCAGGAATTTCTTTTTTTTTGCGTTTTGAAGTGCACATTTTCTGTTCTGAATTTAGCAAGTAAGTTTTGTGCACATTTTAAGTTTTGAAACAAATGAGCGGGTTGCACTCTGGAATTTTTTTTTAATTTAAATTTTTGAACTTTTTGAACTTTTTTTTATAAATTATATACACTTACCTGTTGTGATTTTCTCAAAGAGTTGCACAAGATATAGATATATTTAGATACAAGTAGCCTACCGTGGTTAAAAATGGAAAGCAGTTGTTCTGTAAATAGTTGCATGCACCCAATACTTTCTGGCTCTGTCTGAGGTAGAATTTTTCCGGAAGAAAAATAAACAAAATTTATTCTGAATATGCAAACAATGTCAGAGGCCGAAAGCACTGGTTGTCTCCAACTAAAACAGAACAACCAGAACAAGGTTTCCACTCAATATTAGCCTTGAGTTACAGCTGATTATAAAGCAGAATACTGACATATACATGCTCAGAAAATGTATCTACTGTATCTGGAAGGAATTTGTGAAAAATCATTAATTTGGTTATTTGCGTTTAATACGACTTGTGTGAGCACAAATGGATCTGAAAAATATCAAAAGCAAACTGTAAATATAAAGGTTTCCTCCTATTTATAGGCATATATTATATTATAAAATAATTTTCGGATACTGTAACGAATGCAAACTGACACTACTTGGGGAAGTCGTGGCCTAATGGTAAGAGTCGGTCTCGTAACCCAAAGGTTGCGGGTTCGAGTCTCGTACCGGCAGGGATTGTAGGTGGGGGGAGTGAATGTACAGCGCTCTCTCCCACGACTGAGGGGCCCTTGAGCAAGGCACCGAACCCCCAACTGCTCCCTGGGCGCCGCAGCAAAAAAATGGCTGCCCACTGCTCCGTGTGTGTGTGTGTGTGTGTGTGTGTTCACTGCTGTGTGTGTGCACATTGGATGGGATAAATGCAGAGCACTAAATGTATGTATGGGTCACCACATATTGTTATATTTGTCCCATTAAAACTGTCTTGGAAATCAGCTTAAATGTTGCTATATGTGGCATTATCAATTAAGGCATTTAAGTTAACTAACAATAATTCATGGTTCAGATAAATTAATCTTTAATCACGAGTCTAACCACTTGAAACTTGGTCTACCTGTTTTTATAGTCTATGACCGGTACATAAAGTAGGCTAAAAGTTTGACCTGACACCTAGCGTTTGGACACCGCATCGACACAATTCAATAAAAAAAACATTTCGAGCTTCGACAATAAACAATGTGATAAACTACAGGGTAAGATTTATCCATATGTTCTTAATATTAATTTTCATAAGTTTTCAAAACAACCCATACACAGATGATGACAGTAATGGAGTTGAAATAAAATAAGCATAAAATGGTTCTGCATTGTATGGATTGGTGATGACACATTGGCACCTCTACCTCTGCTAATTTTTTCTATTATGCTGTCATTTGCAGTATTCCTCATGCCAATATTTACCATCAACCAGTGTTATATTAGTATCATTAAAATATATTTTTTTATTAAAATATTGAATTTATATATATATATGTTTTTTCATTTTAATGTTTTTTTAATTAATTGAAAAAGTTTTAAATATTGTATTTTATTAAATAATATATTTATTTATTAATAATAATAAACATGGAAGCTCACATATTTGAGCTTCCAGGTTTACCTAATTTGATGTTCTATTTGATCATTGTTTATATGGGAAGAAAAATGTAACAAAAATTTCTGTCATTAACAAAAAGTTTAAAGATCATCTTTACTTGAGGTTATTGTAATTGGAACATTTTTGTGAAAAGAAATTAATCTTACTAGCAAAAAAAAGAAAGAAAGAAAGAAAGAAAGAAAGAAATAATAATTTATTACACTGACAATCATTCGTCATTTCATTTATTTATTTATTTAATTTTTTTACGAATGGTTATAATTTGCCAAAATACATTTATTCTTGCCGACAGGTGAAATTTTTATCTCCACAAGTAAAGCCTGGGCTGAAATATGGATAGAGTTTCTCAGTGAAAGACTGACCAGTGAAAGAGTAGATATGACACCTGGACTCCACATCATAAAAGGAGACCAAACCCTGCTCATAATCTACATACACACCCACCTTCTGGGGCTTGACTTTCAGACAGAGAGAGACAGACAGGCAGTCACAGGCCTTATACTCACTTCCATTCCTCAACCATAGAGTCCAGAGTCCATTCCTTGGACTCAGCGTAATTATTCCCTTCCTGTTAACAGACTCTCTCGCCACACCTAAATCCCACTCAGTTTTCCCTTTCACCTGCACTTCAAAATAAAATTTCCCAGAGGAGAATCCTTCCTTCCCCAGGACACTGGGACATGTATCAAACCTCCACGGACTGTCCGGGACAATCTGTCGTGTTTCTCCATATCCAGCTTTTTTGTCATCCTCAGACAAGAAGAGTTTTGGATGAGCTGTTTCGGGATCCATAGTCACATTCACTGAGAGAGAGAGAATTAGCAGACTTTTTAAACATATATTTGTAGTATGGAATAAACAAAGGTCTTTCATCAACTTTTCTTTTTGTTATATTTGTCCCATTAAAACTGTCTTGGAAAGGTTTTTCCCTGTGTTCATATTTTTATATCTGCTACTTTGTATGTACTTTTTTACACTTGTCCCACAATTTCAATATTAAAATATGAATATCCATCTACATATTTAAAACTATGATGTTCTCTATTATTGTTTTCTATTATACATTTTTTAATTGTTCCAGTATTTAATTTTTTTAATTGTTTACATGTTTTTTTTTCAGTGTCATTGAACAGCTTGAGATAAAATATATGAGACGTGATTTGTGAAAATATTACTTTTGAGCAGAATTTGTGTGTGTAATATCCAGTCACTCTTTAATTTTGTCAAATGATGTAAAGAGTATAAAAGTCTTATTAAATTGTATGTATTTATTAAGAATAAAATGCTAACTATGAAATTAGCTATGATACACTGTGATAGGTTTTTATGACTTTCAGAAAAAATGAACCAAATTTTCCATGTATGTATATCTACTGTTGGACATTGTTTGGCAAAGCAGGAAAAGTGAGTTTTAAGAGTTTTAAAAGTTCATAGGACTAAAAGTGCCCACAATATATTCATAAATGTGAAAATGTTTGTGTATGAATGTAGGAAAATTGCATAGATGATGTACCTGTAAACTTCTCAATCCTCTTTAGCTCTGAGGAAACAGATTATACACTTGATTATTTTCAAAAAAAACAATGTATGTAAATAATAGAACTGTGCCAGTCTTAGCTTTTAATAGTGTTGAATGCAGGTTTTTATGACTTTCAGAAAAAATTAACCAAATTTTCCATGTATGTATATCTACTGTTGGACATTGTTTGGCAAAGCAGGAAAAGTGAGTTTTAAGAGTTTTAAAAGTTCATAGGACTAAAAGTGCCCACAATATATTCATAAATGTGAAAATGTTTGTGTATGAATGTAGGAAAATTGCATAGATGATGTACCTGTAAACTTCTCAATCCTCTTTAGCTCTGAGGAAACAGATTATACACTTGATTATTTTCAAAAAAAACAATGTATGTAAATAATAGAACTGTGCCAGTCTTAGCTTTTAATAGTGTTGAATGCTTACAGAATAATTCTATTTATATTTATTCACAATAGAAATTCAAGAAAAACAAGCTGTTTTTGATATACCGGACATGCTCACCAGTTCCTGTGATCTTCACCATTGCACCATTGAGAAATTCTTCATGCTTTGTCAGGGCTCTCCTCAGAGCGTCCTCCCTCAGATGAGTATCAGTACTGAACCCAGTCCAGATCTTGGTGTCTAAAGGGCTGCACAGGGATGGATAAATCTACAGCAGGAGAGAGAGAGAGAGAGAGAGAGAGAGAGAGAGAGAGAGAAAAATCCCCCAGCATGTTGAGTGTTATCCTGTGATGTGAGCAGAGAGAGAGAGAGAGAGAGAGAGAGAGAGAGAAAAATCCCCCAGCATGTTGAGTGTTATCCTGTGATGTGAGCAGAGAGAGAGAGAGAGAGAGAGAGAGAGAGAGAGAGAGACACTGACCTGTAGGAGGTGCAGGTGATCCTCAGTGTGTGAGAGCTGCTCCAGCTCAGTGTTTCTCCTCTTGAGTTCAGTGATTTCCTGCTCCAGCTCTTTAATGAACTCCTCAGCCTGCGTTTCTGCAGCTTTCTGCTTCTGCTCCATCACCTCCAGCAGCTCATCCCGACATCTCTCAATGGAGCGCATCAGATCAGTGAACAGCTCAACAATGTCTGCTTTTTCTTTTTCGGAGCTTTGCTAAGTAAAGGATAATGTAGAGTCAGTCTTATTAAATGGCCACCAAATTTACATAGACATTTATGCATTTAGCAGATGCTTTTATCCAAAGCGGTTTACTAATAAGAATGACCAAAGAAATTCATCAAAGAGTCAACAATATCCGTAATACACAATTCCAGGTGTATTACAGGTTAACTAGTCTAGGAAGCACGCAAGAGAAGAGGGGAAATGCAGAGAAGATTTCAATATGGCGTTCTGACCACATTAAATAAAACTATGCAATGAACTTTCAACAAGAGTAACCTTGGCGAGCTGTACTGAGCGTTTGATTTCTTCAGTTTTCTTTATTCTGCTCTGAATCATCAAATTAACCTCGGCTTGTCTTCTCCCGAACTGGAACTGTGGACAGAAATGAAACTTTCATTAAGGCAACTTTTGAAAGCCGTTGAAGCACAGATAAAGATGAAGCACCTCTCACCTTCCTTTCTTCACTCTCCTCCTCTACAGGAACAGTGTTGTGGCTTTTGTGGTCTTTTGTCGTACACGACAGGCACACACACTTCTGATCATCTCTGCAGAACAGCACCAGCGGCTTCTCATGCTTCGGGCATATATAATCCTCCAGATTCTCCACAGGGTTGATAAGTTTGTGTTTCTTCAGTTTTGTTACAGTGTTATGAGGCTCTAGGTGTATTTTACAGAACGATCCTTCACAGTGCAAGCAAGACTTCAAAGCTCCTCTCTTTATTTTTGTACAGGCGTCACATGGTACTGCACCAGGTTGGACAGGACTTTCCACCCTCTTCAGCCCTTCAACAAGCTCTCTGAATTCTCTATTGATGCCAAGTTCTGGTCTCAAATGAAAGTTCTTCTTGCAAAGGGGGCATCGAGTCTCCATACTGCTGTCCCAGTGTTGACCGATACATGCCATGCAGAAGTTGTGTCCGCACGGAATGGTTACTGGGTCACTGAAGAAATCCTGACATATTGAACACAGGCACTGTTCAGCCTGGGAACTGATGGAAGAAGCCATCGCTGGTGGAAGAAAACAAAATGATTGTACAAGCAATGCATACACACACAATATCTCTACTTGCCCCTCCCTTTTAAACAAACTGAACCTGTCAAACCAGTTTTGATACAGGATTTAAATTCAACATGTACTTCAATTGATATTACTATAAAGATTTGCATTAAGTTACAAATTAAGTTTGAAAGTGAATTTCGAATGGCTTTTAGAATAATAGACATTAAGAGAAATCATAACAAAAATGCAAGGTTGATGCACCAGTCGAATAAGCCCTTAGAAAGGAATACATTTCACTAACAAATTAGTCATTTTACTCACCTCTAGGTCTGTGTGGCCTCTTGTGTGTGTCTTCAGTGCAGCTGTGGTGTAACGCAGGAGGAAGGAAAGCGTGTATTGTCACCTGTTCCTCATTGTACGCATGTCACCTTTTTTTTCTTTTCTTTTTTACAATATGTGACATCGTAACCGCTCCCATGCAATTATGTTGTAACTGACTGTATTCTGATGTATCGTGTGGTAACATGCTTTAATTTTGAGACGGACTCATTTCACTTTCTCCCTGCTTCAGTGAAAACGGATCCAGATCCAGTGTTCTCAGCAAGAAGCAGTCTGTGAGAGTCACAGGGAAATCTTTGGAATTTTCTGTTCCTGATGTGTTGTGCATAAATTACTCCTCATCAGTCTTAGATGTAATAAAAGAAGGGCGTTAGCATGTTTACATGGACCTTGACAAACAGATCAAAGGCTTTATTGACACAAACACAATTATCTGAATTCAAATTGTAAATTAATATTTTGAATATTGAACGTTATGTACCTACGAAGCAAACACAAGTCATTCTTCAGTGATCATCTAATTATTTATTTTCACAATACAATACAGAGATGTCTGAACTGCAGTGAAATATAAGGAACAAAATGTGATTTAACAGCATGTAAAAATTTGAAATCAAATTAAACTGCCTATTTATCTGCCAATAGGGATCTTCTGGTTTTCAGCAAAATATGTAAGTGGGGAAAAATGTATTTCTTAAACATTCATTCATATCTGCTCCAGCAGCAACTTTAAATCACAATCAATGAGGACACTAACTGTAATGGAATGCCAAAAGTATTAAATTAATAACAAAAAATACAATGAAATCATTAAGGTTAATTAAGAGTTAAGTATTAAAGTTTTACGTATACAGTATGTCTAATGATCAAACCAAGCTCAAATGCATAAAATTATGCCAATACTTATACAGGAACTGATTAAGACTTCAAAAGTGTGTAATATCACCGCATTTGTTACATACAAACACAGGAGAAACCATTAAAAGGGTAAAAAATACCCTTGCTTGGTCTTCAAATTTATTCTATTTAATATAATGGTTGTTTATAACAGAGGTCTTTAGCATATTGTATAATAGACAGCTAATACTTTAATAATCCTTGCAAGGATCTGCATTGGTCTAGTGAACTGAATGACGAATCAGAATGTTCTCAGAAAATCTCAGAAATATCATATGAATATAAGACATTAGGCATAGACATTCAGCTAAAATCTACAACGAGGTCTAAAATAGTACCTGAAATTTCTGGATAAAATATAAGGCTCTAAAAGAGGTTGTTTAGACAAATGAACAGGGAACAAACTCAAGATTTTAAGGCTATGACCTAAAACACAAACTGCACAAAACATATACTTTCAGTACGGTGTAATAAATGGAACCAAATTTATGTTCTCATTGTACTACAGTGTAGTATAAGACTAAAACAGACAGAATGTAAGAAGTTGGTAATACAGTGTCCTTGAAAACTCATCAAATAATTCTGAAATTAGAAGTTTTCAAATAGTGATTATTAAAAAATTAAGAGGCCATGCAGTTGCTTTAGGCCTTAATACAGCATCTGGGGAAACCTTTGAAATCAAAAGCTTATGTGCGGGCCCAAAAACACTAAATGATGATGTGAGGTGTGTGTATGTATGTATGTATGTGTGTGTGTGTGTGTGTGTGTGTGTGTGTGAATATGCATATGTGTGCATCTGACTGCAGAGAGAATAAAATGACCTTTGCATGGATTTGGCATAATTTGGCCCATTATGGACCTGATTAGACCCTAGTACTGGCTTAATTATCATTACCAAATACTGCGTTGAGTTGTTGGGTCACCCTAATGAAGGTGGTACGACGACTCAACTCTTTCAGCTTAGCAGCACCCACGTAGGTGCAGGTGGAACGAACTCCACCCAGCACATCTTTCACCGTCACCGCTACAGGCCCTTTGTAAGGCATTTCAACTGTTTTACCCTCTGACGCCCTGAAAACAAACAAAAAAAATACAATCAATATCAATCAACTCAAGAGTTGTGTTGACAGGCCAAAAATCACTCTTTTTTTTTAAAAATCAGAATGCACAGGTGCAAATCAAACTGGTCATTAGTAGGGATGTAACGATGCACCCCGAGCCGGTTGAAATTGATACAAATATGTGACGATTCAAATCGGTTGAGATGTCAAACGAATCGCAATATATTTGGGGGTAGAAGTTTATGTGAATGTATCTCTGAGGGGAACTGACTGTCTTAAGAAAAGTTTAGATGGCATTTTCTTTTTATCGTGGTTCTGTATAATGCATATTAAAACAGAGTTCATAAACACAACGCTGCTGTGTTTATAGCGGCAACCAAGGAAACGTCTCTGGTTACTCACATAACCTTGGTTCCCTGAGATGAGGGAACGAGATATTGCATTTTGCTAATGCTTATGGGGAAACCCCTTCCTCCAAATACTACTGAATCCTTATTGAATCACGTCAATGGCGTTCAAGTAATATATATATATATATATATATATATATATATATATATACACACACACACACACAGTGTGCGGAGAGAATATACACACTTGTTAAATGTGAGCCAAAATCATCACAATTAAAAGAACCAAAGACTTAAACTACTTCAGTCTCTGTGCATTGAATTTATTTAATACACGAGTTTTACAATTTGAGTTGAATTACTAAAATAAATGAACTTTTCCACAACATTCTAATTTCTTGAGATGCACCTGAATATATATATATATATATAAATACGAGGGGCTTCCCTCTCTATATAAGGCAACGCTTGGATGTCATCCATTCAGAATCTTGAAGCAACTTGGCATAGTAAGATCCTGAGCTAGGTGAGACGGCAGTAAGTGCAATTAATCGCACATTTTTTTCTGTGATCAATCCCACCAAACATTAAAGTTTTCAAATATACTTTTATATTGCAATAATTTCACATCCAATCTTCAAATTAATGTAGAAAGAACAAAGACAACTGTTTAATGGCATTTTTTATGACTATCAAACACTAAATTCAAATTTAAATAAAGATTAATCCTTAAAGCTACAAAAGTTATTGACTTCCTAGTTTTTCTTTTGTACTTTGATTAACAGATATCACAGCAGCTGGGTTATTAGGTTATTTTGGTTGCTTTAAGAGCTGCCGCTGCTGAACATGACTCGGATCTGACACACATCATATTTTCTCAAAACTCTTTACCTTTTCTGGCCGCTTCATGTCTTAAAGTCTCTACAGTGCATGCATAATTATTATGCAAGTTGATATTCTGGTCATATTTTTT